CAACGTCATGACTACAGGGGAACCAGCCACTACCGACAACGTCATGACTACAGGGGAACCAGCCACTACCAACAACGTCAAAACTACTCCAGAACCAGCCACTACCAACAACGTCATGACCACAGGGAACCGGCCACTACCAACAACGTCATGACTACAGGGGAACCAGCCACTACAAACAACGTCATGACTACTGCAGAACCAGCCACTATCGACAACGTCATGACTACTGCAGAACCGGCCACTACTAACAACGTCATAAGTACTGCAGAACCAGCCACTACCAACAACGTCATAAGTACTGCAGAACCAGCCACTACCAACAACGTCATGACTACAGGGGAACCAGCCACTACCAACAACGTCATGACTACAGGGGAACCAGCCACTACAAACAACGTCATAACTACAGAGGAACCAGCCACTACCAACAACGTCATAACTACTGCAGAACCAGTCACTACAAACAACGTCATAACTACTGCAGAACCAGCCACTACCAACAACGTCATAACTACTGCTCAACCGGCCACTACCAACAACGTCATAACTACTGTAGAACCAGTCACTACCAACAACGTCATGACTACTGCAGAACCAGCCACTACCAACAACGTCATAACTACTGCAGAACCTGCCACTACCAACAACGTCATGACTACTGCAGAACCGGCCACTACCAACAATGTCATGACTACTGCAGACCCGGCCACTACCAAAAACGTCATGACTACTGCAGAACCAGCCACTACCGACAACGTCATGACTACAGGGGAACCAGCTACTACCGACAACATCATGACTACTGCAGAACCAGCCTCTACCAACAACGTCATGACTACTGCAGAACCGGCCACTACCAACAACGTCATGACTACTGCAGAACCAGCCACTACCGACAACGTCATGACTACAGGGGAACCAGCCACTACCGACAACGTCATGACTACAGGGACCAGCCACTACCGACAACGTCATAACTACTGCAGAACCAGCCACTACCAACAACGTCATGACTACTGCAGAACCGGCCACTACCAACAACGTCATGACTACTGCAGAACCAGCCACTACCAAGAACGTCATAACTACTGCAGAACCGGCCACTTTAACGGCTGTAGTTACAGGGACACAATTAACAACTGAAGAAATCACAACTACCACAGACATGCCCACAACAAGTGATTTAACAACTGAAGAAATCACAACTACAACAGAACTGACCTCTACAAGTGATTTAACAACTGAAGGAAGCGCAACTGAAGCCACTATGGCTGTTACAAGTGTCACAAGCCCCAATGAGCCTCCAGTTTCAAATCCACCAGGTAAATCATACATTTATTAATGACCAATATAAAATAATTATTATGATATACTTGTAAAGGTGTAAAGTTAGAACACTTGGCCGAACCGTTGTATTCTCTTAATTTGGAACGTCATGTCACTGAGATTATTTTTCTTCACTTTTCTTTCTCTCTTTTTATACACAGTTATCATCACTGTCCCTGAAGAGGTGCCCATCAACAATCACATAAGTATGTATTAATGTGACACGGCTATATTCTAACCGCATTTTTTAAATTCTTGTTCTGCTTATTTAATCCAACAGTTTTTCCAAAAGAGAGATTGCTAATATCATGTTATTGAAAATCATTTACTATTGGCATATACTAAATGGAATTATAATTGTTACTGAATTTGATGATAATGCATGTTAGAACGATTTGAACAAAAGAAATGGATTTATTTATTTGTGTGTGATGTTTGTATTTGCGTTGACAGATATAACAGCGGTCATTGCAGTCATCAATGTGGTGATAGTTCCCGTTCAATTTTCCATGGAGTTTCCAGTGTCTTTGGCGAGCATTCCGGATTTGTTTTCTTTGATATTCCGTGAACAGGTAAGGCCACGGAAGCAATGTTATCATACTGGAAATAACAACTGGTATTATGCAGAAAATCAAATACTGTAAACACTTTCTTTTTATTACAAGACAGTTAAACTTGACTCATGGTTGCAATAGGGAGATTAATTTTGCTACAATTTTTTCTCCAGATTAGGCCATACTACGTGAACACCGAAGGGTACCAGGGCATAGAAGTAACAACAGTTAGGTAGGATGTCTTATGTTGTAATACAGCAGTAATAACTAGCTAACTAATTATGTGTTTTTCTATAATGTGCTAATGTAAACAATAGCCTGGATTATAACATTACCATAACACTCCTGGCCAATCTGGTTAAACAAGAAAAAATTCATTCCATTACACACAAATTATACAGTGATGAAATTTTCAGCGATCACTGTCGCCTTCATCAGGATAACTAATGACCAATCACTTCACAACGTGATCTCGCGAGAGTTACGGTTACAAACACGTGACCTTATTCACACGAGACTTAAGATAAAAGCATCTTAATTTGTCCCCCGTCGCAGACAAGTAAACACTGTAAGAAGGCGGCGAGATACGGGAAGCACTGCTGTAGACTATGAAGTCATGTATGACTACAAAAAGCTGGAAGAAGCTGGAGGCGTGAAGACTGTTACCAGCCAACTCGAGGAAGACGTGAGGGCAGGACACTTTAATGTTAGCGACGTGAAACCTACCTCGGACTCACTGACACATTCAACTGAAGAAGGTAATAACTCTGCAAACACTCCACATTAAGACTATCAACATTAAAAAATTAGGGCCAAACCCTATTGCTTAGCAAAGTGGCACTCCCAACCAGGCAAAGTATCTTGCTTCTTGATTTGCAACTAAATCTGTTGTATAAGAAATTGGTTAGCATATTGATCGTACTGAAATTTGCCCTGAAGGTTGTCGTATTCGTTAAATGGTCCAAATTGCCTGACATGTTCCTTGTGTCTTTAGTATTCAGTATCCAGCATTCCTGATACCTTCCATGTTTTTTGAAACCTATATAAAAAAATTCACTGTTGCTTCAACAGAAATTAGAGAAGCTGCCGTCAAAGTAGTACTGGAACAGGTTGCTGAAAAACCAGATCTGATTGAAGGGGGGCTGTGTGCCGTCGCCAATTGCCCGAATGGATACGAATGTAAACAAGACGAAACTACTGGTACCGCTGTCTGTGCTACAAAGTGTACAAAAGGTTATTGTCACAACAACGGTACCTGTTTTCACACGGAGAACCAACCTGTTTACTGCAGGTGGGTACAATAGGGTTTGTTGGCACAGAGCTGCGTTAATCTAATTATATCCATCCATCCATCCATCTATCTATCTATCCATAGATCTATCGATCTATATCTATCCATCTACTAGTATCTCTATCTAGCTATATCTATCTATATCTGTCTATATCTATCTATCTATCTATCTATTTATCTAGTAGTATCTAACTATTCAAGTTGGTATCTAATACCTAATATTATAGACAATATCCACCTGTAGTTATACGAGTTTCTCTCTCTACAAACTTTTAAGCTTCAGCTAAAACAAGAGAAAATCCCAATCGTAAAAATTTGTGTTTGGGTGACATTAAGATATTGAATACTGCATTTCATAGCTCCTACCGTGTTTTTGCTGATACATTGTCATCAAACTCCTCTGTTAAAAATCCCGTTTGTAAAACATCAACCTTTCTGTTGTCCACAAAAAGTTGCAATTTTGATCCTACCGGGTTCTACGTGGGAGCCAAGTGTGAGTTCTACGCCTCTCAAGCCTGGGTCATCGGCGTGTCTGTTGGAGTAGGGGGCTTCCTGATCATCATCATCATTGTCGTGTCTGTCTGTAGATGCCGTCGCGATGGCAAAAAGGATACACCCGCAGACGCGTAAGTAGTGGAAATTTTTCAGAAAAATATGACAAAGAGTGCCACTTTGAGTCGCATCATCAGCTATATGCGCCGCGCCGCGTGTCTGCGAAGTTGGTGTGTTACGCCGAAGGGCGGTTAAACCGGCTATACTGATACAGAATGATATATATATATATACCATACTCTATGATATACTGAACCACAACGCGCGCGAAATTGTGTATATATATTTCAGTATAAAGAGATGTGTCGTATACAGAAGTTTTTACAGACAGTAGTTGTCTGTTCCCTATTATTGTATTGTATTGTATCGTATAGTATCTTTGTGAAAGCAATTACTATGTATAAACCTTTAAGGGCCCGGAAAGAGGTCGAAGCTCATTGGTTATCTCCTAAGAGACAACAGGCGCGTGATGAGAGTTTTGCGGAGGAACTGCCACTGTACACGTGAGTTAAAATGCCACAGGAACTTTAGGAAATAAAGATAAATGTACTATTTTTGCCCATATCATAGTGTATACGTATTATAGCTCATCTTTGATCTTAAGATATCTGAGATAAAAAATAAATTGTGAGGAAACGTATGTCCTTAGTAAATTTAGTATAAATCTTGTTTAGTGTTGACTCGGTGTAATATCGTATATTATGATCTTGATATTGACACTACTTCCACACGATTTAACTCAATGAATTGTACTGTTTTACAGCATTGCGAACAGGAAAAGCAAGTCCAAAGGAAGGACCAACCCGGACCCAGCGTCTATCATCTACGGCGAGGAGCAGATGCTGGGAATACACGCCCTGTCCGATCCTCAGGCCACCAACAACTACAGAACAGGCTGGCAGCCTAGACTGCAGCATATTCCAACGGACAAGGTAAGTATCTTTTGATGCAATATTAGGAAATGGATACAGCGATTAAAAGCTGGCTTGCAAGCCGTAATAGTAGGAACACGAAAGCATCCTATGTTCTGATCATGACCACTTCTAGCGGCAGTTCTAAGTAGATTGTAATGATATTAGATATCATCGGCCATAGGTTTCTGTAATACATGTAACTACAAAAAAAGGGGAAATAAAACAGATTCAGACACATAAACATCCCTATCTATTAACACAAGCCACTATTTTGAATTTTTCTTAAATCATTGCAACAATGATTGGCAAATGGCCATCTTTTGTGGTCATCCAAGCTGTCCTTTTTCTAACGAAGTTAAACCGTTATCAGGAACTGAAGATCCCCCGTCCTGGACTGTACGAGAGAAAGAACAACTACTGGCGACCCATCGTGAGTAGTTTATGTTATTGTGTCAATAGGTTAAATCTTAAGAATGGAACATTTTTACGGTCCATTTTCAAAGGACAGCAAGTAGAACGTAGACCATAGATTTGAACATTTATCCTCTGTTCTATATCTTGTTATCATTATAAGTGAACCGCGAATGGTTTGGTAAGTTGTCTGCATGCTACGTATGAACTGAAAACTGTTGATAAAATGTGATTCAATAATACAAACCTTCAGTTGGTGTAAACAGTTGTTCTCATGGCAACGACGATAATTCAACGTGATAATTAGCATTTCTTGTTGACTTTCAGGATGGGAGAATATCGGTGTCATCTACGTAAAAATTGTATCTATTTTGAGATTTTGAGACAAACGGCAGGACGTGAGCGAATGTCGCATAGAGGGTAGAGTTATGATTGACAAAGAAAGAACCTACCCATTTCTTAACTAAACAATCTCGGGGAAAACAAATATGAAAATCATAAGAGGAAATGTATAGTGTACCAGCTAAATATTGGATCTTGTCATCATGTTTGCAGTGGTTTGTTTCGGTTGAAAATATATTTTGCTTAGTTTTGTTCTTGTATACGTTCATGTGTGGATTAGATTTAATTTATAAGAAGCTGTACATTGGCTTTTACACGACATGTAAAGACACAGTTACCTCATGATAGAAACAAAAAATAGAATCTTTATATATTCTATGTATTAGAGGTTTTGAAGCTTCAATATTTTGTTGACTTATAGTTTTTATCCCCCCTTGATAGTGCATATTACGAAGTGTAACATTATAAAGTGTTATCAAAATAAAATGGTATATCTTACAACCACCATGTGTCGAAAGTCTCACTTATTCATGAAACATACCTTCCACCTCCAGACTACAACGTTATACACTTCGTCTAACAACCTCACATACAATTACTCTATTTACAGTACCCTCTTTGAGCATATTGTCCATACTTCTCAGGTTACCAATATATAATGCACTGTTGCTGCTTTGAGTAGCCCGGCCACGGACAAAATTACTGTGTGACTTCTTTACAGGATCACCCGTGTATCTCAATCAATACAGTCTGTACTTTAAATACTGTAAATGATCTTTAGGCCACAGCAGGTAAATTTTATGGATGACATCCTCCACAGACTCCGAATCTAATGCGAGTGGGCGAAAAAAAAACAAGGCGGGCCGAAAAAAACAAGGTTCCTACATTTTTAAATTTTGACTCAATCATTGTATGAATGGTTTTGATTCATTGGGAACATCACATATACACAGCCAACATCACATATCACTGCATCAAAGTAAGAAGCAAAACATTGAATCAGAGCCTTTTCTTGTCTCCTCTCTTTATAGTTATCTGCCATACACCTTCCGGCTTGTCAACAGACATCTTTGCACATTTTCGGCATGGTGACCACTGTCAGAAGGCAACGAAATTTCTTGTGTTTTTTTTCAAAATCTGGCGAAAATTAATGCGCGCGCTTATGTCATCCATAAAAATTACTTGCTGTGGCCTTAGTTGAAATGTGTCCTGCAGACCGTTGCTATTGAAATGCGAGTAATGTTTTGAATGCCAACGCCATTGAAGAAAAGTCGTTCGAGTAAACATTACTTCCTCACATTTTGTTTACCTTCGTGCTTAGCTGAGCATATGAGGTACGGAAGTTATGAATACCCCTGAGTTAATTGGAATGAAAATCGTGTTGATATACAGTGTATACAGAGAAAAAGCAGCGTAATCTAATTACGTCTAAAAGGATGGGGAAAGAAAGAGCCCGCCAGAACGAGAAAATAAGTACATTGGCACAGTAAGTATCAAAACGTTTTAGAAGCAAAAAGTTCATGTAATTAAACCATTGAAAATGTACATCAATGGCCAATTTATTCTTTACATACTACAAAGAAAAAAGGAAGCACTAGTACTACAGGTAAGTGATGGAACAATGGTAAATGCCACAACGATATTTGTCAATCCCAACTTTTAATTAAATGAGGCCTTTTAGTCTTTTAGAAAGTCGCTATGAAACGTTTTGATAAGCCAGACTCGCTTAAAATGTGCTTCCATTAATTAAGCCTACAAGAGAAGTGCGGGGTCAATGTACCTGTTTGAAAATATTTGCTCTTTTGTAATGTTTGCTCCAGCTCAATACGTCAAAAGGGAAGTGACGAGAATGGCAAGAAAAAGTGCCCCTGTTTCTATGGTCAACACAATGCCATGGTGTTTTGAAGGGACAACAGCATATATCCGTCTTCCTCATATATCTAGTACATAATAAACTAGTTTAATCCTAGCCTAATGCGAAGACTTTTCTAGTGGCCTGCGTTTGTTTCTATGAGCGCAACCGTTTCTTTTTGCTGAGAGAGCTGTATCGGATGTAGGGCTGTATTGGGGGATAGCTGTATTGGCGGCTGGAAAAATGCAAGTAGACTTTTCCCAGCAGCCAATACAGCAATCCCCCTGATATAGCCCTTTCCTAGATACAACTCTTCCACCGGGAAGCGCGCTCATAGAATCAAACGCAGGCCACTAGAAACGTCTGCACATGAGACTAACTCAGAAATGTCCTTATAAATTCTAACGAGACATTGTTGACATTACGTACACGGGACACCTCCTTCAGTCCACCTCTAAGTGCTTGTCAGCGCCCTTCGTTATTTGTTGATAGATTTTACCCAAAAGAACTTCCGAAGCAGAAATTCTGTTTGTGGCCCAACAAAGGCCGGAGCTAAGTGACTTTATAACGGCCTTTAGTTTTGCCAAAAACCTCATTCGGTTGTCTACAAAAATGCTACATGCAAGATTTTCTTTTCCAAACACTCAAAAGCCCTTTCCTTGTGTTTTAAACACCCCCTTTCTCCTGTTTCATAATTTCTTTACACCTGGACATGTACTAAGTGTACACAACCAAACAGAAAAACCCAAAACAATTTTAAGTTTAAAACTGTTATATATAGCCGTGAAAGAATTCGTCCTTAGTGAAATAACCAGCAATACACAATAAAGCATGTTTACACAAAACTATAACTGTAAACTGTAACTTGATATGGAGTTCAATTGGGAGGTGACGTAATTTGTTCTGTTTTGTGCGCACACGTT